TTGAGGCACAGTCCTGCTCTATCGCCCAGGCTGGAGTGCTGTGAGGCAATCTCGGCCTCTATTTCCCTGGTTCAAGCGATTCTCCTTGCCTCAGCCTCCCAAGTAGCTGGGATTACAGGCGTGTGCCACCCCACCCAGCTAATTTTTTGTATTTTTAGTAGAGATAGGGTTTCGCTATGCCGGCCAGGCTGGTCTCAAACCCGGGCTCAAGTGATCTGCCTGCCTCGGCCTGCCAGCGTGCTGGGACTATGGGCGTGAGCCACTGCGCTGGGTCCTTTTAATGATATTGATGACCATATCGCCCTCGGTGGTGAGGGAGAGCCGGGCAGCTGGCGGTGGCGTGTGCGGGAGAGGGACTGTCCTCCTTGCCCCCCACCCCGACAGGGGTCTGAGGAGTCCTTGGCCACCCCGCTATGAGGCTTTTCTCCTCCCACCCAGGGCAACCTGATGGTGCCAGTGCTCATAGGCTGCCCCCCAGGCAAGCGCCTGGCCTTCGACATCACCTACACGCTGGAATACAGCCTCCGGCAGAACAAACACTACTTCGACTGCGTGCACGTGGACCCCGAGATGCCCTGCTTTCTCTTCCGGGACAGTGTGTGTCCGTTCCCTTCCCCTGCACAGTTCACTGCCCTCCTGCCCCCACCACTTTGCGCGCTCCCTCCCCGCTCCTCTCCCGCTGGCCACCCACCCCTTGTCCTGCGGCATCTCACTTTCCCCCTCTCGGTCCTCACCTTCTCCGGCCAAGCTAATTTCTTCTCCTGGTCTCAACCCCCCTCCAACCCCATAGTTTTCTACCCCTTCTTCTTGATTCAAGATTTGGTGACAGGAGACTCCGGCAGTTTCCAGGGCAGGTAAAGGCTTGGCCAGTTTGCAGCTAGGGCAGGTGGAGGGGGAGGAAGGGAAGGGGTGCAGGACTCGCCACCTGGAGCAACCAGTCCTTGTGCGCTTCTGTCCCTGGTAGCTACGTGCTGCTGGTGGTGGGTGGCGGGCCTACACTGGAAAGCATCAGAGACTACAGCAAGGACGAAATCTACCGTTTCAACAGCCCCCAGGACAAGTAATCCCCGCGGGGCCCCACGCGTAATCTGTCTTGCTTCCCCTGGAGGCCTTTCCCGCTTCCCAGCCAAGCCCACCTTGCAAGCCCCCGCCTTCGCATCTCAGGCCCCGCCCACAGCAGGGCTCTTAGGATCACACAGGCAAACTCCAGTCCACCCTAAGATCACGCCCCTTGCACCTAAGATCACACCTGAGACCACGCCCCCTGTATTTGAGACCACGCCCCCTGCACGCACATCTGGCCTCGGTCCACACTAGCCGCTGAGGCCATACGTCCCCCACACCACCACCCCCCGACCCGTGGCTGAGATGACCTGGTCCTGCACAGGACCAACAGCCTTATCTGGACCACAAGGATCTCAAGGACCACCAAAGACTCAGCCTTCCACATCATGTCCCACGAGAGCCCCGGCATCGAGTGAGTTTGCAGCCTGGCCTATTGGCCCCCATCTGTCCGTAGTCCATCGGGCCCACCCATCCTTTCTACCTCTAGGAGGCCTCTTGATCCCCAAGTCACACGGATTGCCTTTGTGTTCCTCAAATGGGACTGATCTTTGCACAAGCGGAAGTCTCAGCCTGGAATGCTGCCCCCTCCCACTCTCTTCAGGCCTTAGATAGATGCCCTTTCAGCCAGGGGGACTTTTCTGTTTCAGGATGGGACAGTTGTCCCTTTGTGGCTCCCATGGCCTCCTGGGGCTCTCCCATCCTGGCCCTGAGCCCTCTACCTGTGCATCGCCATCCCAGTGTGGGCAGGTCTGGGCAGTCACTGTGTGATGTGGCATCTATCTCTCCCTCAGGACTCTCCCTCAACATAGAATTTATTTGTTTATTTTTTGTGACACGTTCTGCCTGTGGCCCACGAGGCTGGGAGTGCAGTCTTGGCTCACTCAACCTCCACCTCCTGGGTTCAAGCAATTCTCCTGCCTCAGCTGCCTCAGTTTCCCGAGTAGCTGAGGTTACAGGCACCTGCCACCACACCTGGCTAATTTTTGTATTTTTAGCAGGGATGGGGTTTCACCATGTTGGTCAGACTGGTCTCGAACTCCTGACCACAGGTGATCTACCCACCCGAAGTGCTGGGATTACAGGCGCATGCCACCATGCCCAGTTAATTTTTGTATTTTTTTCTTTCTTCTTCTTTTTTTTTTTTTTTTTTTGACCTGGAGTCTCTCTGTCGCCCAGGCTGGAGTGCAGCGGCACTATCACAGCTCACTGCAACGCCCCTGCCAACCTCCTGGATTCAAACGATTCTCCTGCCTCAGCCTCCTGAGTAGCTGGGACTACGGGTGCATGCCCCCACACCTGGCTAATTTTTTGTATTTTTAGTAGAGATGGGATTTCACCACATTAGCCAGGATGGTCTTGATCTCCTGAACTTGTGATCCACCCACCTTTGCCTCCCAAAGTGCTGGGATTACAAGTGTGAGCCACCGTGCTCGGCCTATTTTTTTTCCTAGTAGAGACAGGGTTTCACCATGTTGGCCAGACTGGTTAACATAATATTTATTGAATGAAATAATGGACAAATGAATAAATTCATTCATGGCAGGCATTTATTGATATGTGAATGGGGGTATTAATGAATGAATAAAACAATGGAGAAACAAATTCATATATAGGGGCTCAATAACTAAGATTCATTCAATGAAGGGAAAAAAAATGAAGCCATGAGCAAATGAAGGCAGTGAATGAATGAACAACTTGCATCTAGTCAGAACTTAACCCGCATTTAAATTTTTTTTTAATTTTTATTTTTTGAGACAGAGTCTTGCTCTGTCACCCAGACTGGGGTGCAGTGGGGCCATCTCATCTCACTGTGACCTCCGCCTCTTGGGTTCAAGCGATTTTCCCACCTCGGCCTCCTGAGTAGTTGGGATTACAGGTGCATGCCACCATGCCTGGCTAATTTTTGTATTTTTAGTAGAGACAGGGTTTCACCATGTTGGCCAGGCTGGTCTTGAACTCCTGACCTCAAGTGATCCACCTGCCTTGGCTTCCCAAAATGCTGGGATTCCAGGCTTGAACCACTGTGCCCGGCCTAACCTGCATTTATTGAATAATGAATAAAGAAGAGAATAAATGAAAGATGTGACTTTGTACCTAGCAAGTGCTCAAGCTTTATTTATTTATTTATTTATTTATTTATTTATTTTTGAGACGGAGCTTCACTCATGTTACCCAGGCTGGAGTGCAATGGCGCGATCTCGGCTCACCGCAACCTCCGCCTCCTGGGTTCAGGCAATTCTCCTGCCTCAGCCTCCTGAGCAGCCGGGATTACAGGCACGCACCACCATGCCCAGCTAATTTTTTGTATTTTTAGTAGAGACGGGGTTTCACCATGTTGACCAGGATGGTCTCGATCTCTTGACCTCGTGATCCACCCGCCTCGGCCTCCCAAAGTGCTGGGATTACAGGCTTGAGCCACCGCACCCAGCCTCAAGCTATATTTATGGGATAAAGGACTGAAGGGAGCCAAGAATGAATAAGGAGTTGGCACATGATAGGTGCACAGACTGTAATCTGGATGGATGCACGTGACAGATGAATTGACAGATGGAGGCGTTCAGGCAGGATGATTGGCTGAGTGAATGAGGAATGAATGAGGGAAGGCATGAGACTGCACCCATTCGGTCCTCATCCAGAGTGTCGGGGCAGAGGAAGAAACTGGGCGTTGGCGCAGACTAGGCATGGTTGGTAGCACGACTGCCTGATCTTTGGCTCGCAGGTGGCTGTGTCTGGAGAACTCCCCATGCTATGACAACGTTCCCAGAGGCATCTTCTCCCCTGAATTCTTCTTCAAGGTGTTGGTGAGCAATAGGTGAGCCAGGCAGGTGGACCAGGTGCGGGTCAGGGGCTTCCCATGGAGTGCCCGGCTTCTCCTCTCATCCTGGATCCCTTCCCAACCCCTGCAGAGGAGTGGACACAAGCACCTACTGCAACTACCAACTCACCTTCCTGGTGCACATCCATGGGCTGCCACTCAGTCCCAAGCGGGCCCTCTTCATTTTCATGGTGAGTGGCTGTCCGGGAGCTGCCCTGGTGGGTGGCCAGGGCCCTCCATGACTCCACACTGACGCTTGTTTTACCTTCCCTCATTCATTCCTTCACTTGCTCATCCAGGCATGCTGACTAAATGCCTACTGTGCAACGGGCTGTCTGTTCATTCATTTCAGCCATCACGCCTCCAGCTGTCAATTCGTCTGTCATGTGCATCCATCCAGATGACGGACTGTGCACCTATCATGTGCCAACTCCTTATTCATTCTTTGCTCCCTGCAGGTGTCGACCAGCGTGTTTGTGGGCCTGGTGATCTTCTACATCATCTTCTGCCTCCTGTGGCCCCTCATGGTGAAAGGCTGCACGACGCTCCGGTGGAAGATAAATGACATCATTGCCTCAGACTCCTACTACACCTACACCTCCATTTCCGGAATCTCCAGCATGGCGTCTCTGAGACAGTCCAGGCAGGGCTCCATTGTCAGCTCCAGGATAGAAGAGGATGGGGCTGAACCCAGGGAAGCCATGGAGGGACAGCTGACGGCCTTAGCCTCTCACCTGCCCCCGCCCCCAGCCACCATCACGCCTCCCCTACAAGGCCCATCTTGAAGATGTGCCTGTCACCCAGCCCAGGCCTCTTTTTCTGTTTTGCTTGATGTTTACTTCTCGTTCAGACTCAAATAAAGCCTGATTTCAGGACCAGCTGTGGGTTCTCTTAAGAACTCCAGAAGTTTTTATTTCGTTTTTTTTTGAGACGGAGTTTTGGTCTTGTTGCCCAGGCTGGAGTGCAGTGGCATGATCTCGGCTCACGGCAGCCTCTGACTCCCTGGTTCAAGCAAGTCTCCTGCCTCAGCCTCCCAAGTAGCTGGGATTACAGGCATGCGCTAATTTTTGTATTTTTAGTAGAGACAGGGTTTTACCATGTTGGCCAGGATGGTCTCAATCTCCTGATCTCATGATCCACCCACCTCAGCCTCCCAAAGTGCTGGGACTACAGGCATGAGCCACCATGCCTGGCTGAGTTCAGAAGGTTTGTATCAGATAGCTGCACATTAAAGTATCATAAACCCGGCTAGGCACAGTGGCTCATGCCTGTAGTCTCAGCACTTTGGGAGGCCAGAGCAGGCAGAATAGTTGAGGTCAGGAGTTTGAAACCAGCCTGGCCAACATGGTGAAACCCTGTAACCCCATCTCTACTAAAAATACAAAAAAATTGCCGGGTGCGGTGGCTCACGCCTGTAATCCCAGCACTTTGGGAGGCCGAGGCGGGTGGATCACGAGGTCAAGAGATCGAGACCATCCTGGTCAACATGGTGAAACTCCGT